TCTAAATAGTTCGATGTATATATGATCAAATCATCTCTTCTTTTATAAATCAATTTTTTTTGATAAATATAACAAGGTTCCACTTCATGAAGATTTTGTTGGTATGTGGTCAATATTAGAATTTTCAATAATAACTGGATGTGTAGAAGGAGATTCTTTTTTTAATCTTGTTTCTGTAATTCTAATAATACTTAATTCAAAACTAATCAATGATAACAATATGTTCAGATCTTTAAAGTGCTTTTGTAAAGAGGATATGTCTAAATGCAAAAAAGATTTTTTGCATTTAAACATATCCTCTGTTTAAATGCAAAAAATCTTTGTTTGTGATGTCAAAGTTATAAGAACAAAATTTATTAATGTCATATTATTGACAATCTACGTTAATCTAATTTAATCTAAATTAAAAAATTGTAATGTTAAACAATTACCCAAAGTAGACGATTCAACTACAGAGCTAGAACTTTTCTCAGACATCAGTGATATTAGTACAGAATCATTTATTTCTTTTGATTTAACGCAACCCGGCCCAAGTTTTATTTTATATGAGCTTTCATGCTATATTCTATACAATGTTCTTATATCCAAAGATATTGTTGGCTTAGCATAAAAGCCACAAATAGTCATTAAAACTAATCCAAAGTAGCGTCCGTTATTGACCAACATTTTTGTGTACCAAAGTACTATTTTGGTACTCAAGCGCTGAGTTTGCGGTGGCAGGATTTGAACTCGTACCGTACAACAGTCCGGGTTTTATTTTTTTGGTTTGACGCTCTAACCAATTGAGCTATCCAGCCATAAAATTGCTACCGGTAAAGCTATTTTTGCCATAATAGCACATTTTGATGGGAAAATTATCGAAGATATCACAGAAGGTAAAAAATCAAAAAGAGATTAATTTGCAGTCTCGGTAAATATTGATGGTAAAATGAAGCTTCTTGGCATTTCAGCTATTAATCGTGATACTGAACATCATACTGCATAAAGCATCATATTGAGCTTAAGCTCAATATGATGCTTTAGTTAAAATACTGAATGAATATGGAATATGTGATGACGTAAAATGTTTAGGTTTAAATACAACTGCTACAAATACAAGAAGACTTTTTGGTATAAATGCCAGGTTTAGTCATAAATAATATTCAATTGTACTAAAGCTGGCTTGCAGAAGACATGTTTATTAACAACATTTTTTTACGCTTCGTAAAAAACGTCTGTGGAAAACTAAATCTCCGCAAAACCTAATTTTCAAACGGTTCCAATTTAACTGGAACGGTATTAAAAGTAGCATTGACTCTTCAAAATTTGTAAAATACACAATCTATTGCTAACACGTTCTTAGAAATCTCGACGCTGTAAAGTTTTGCGAGATGACTCTAAAAGAAAACATTTTCCTTAGAGGAGATTACAAAGATCTATTGAAATTGACACTTATGTACTTATGCCCTGAAAGAGTTTTTCAAATTCAAGCTCAAGGGTGCGTGTCGCATGCACATTTTATGTCCAAAGCTATTTATTATCTCAAGATTCAGATATTGAGTTTCTTATGAATTGACAGATAATCTAGAGCGACAACACCGGGGAGCCAGGGGATCGTTTTTGTTTTTAAGAACACGCTAGATATAGAAGACTTTTTTTTACAATTGTATCCCCCTCCCCCACCTCGAAAACCGTGTTGTTGGCCCTGTAATCAAAAGAAATAAATGCAGTCTACGGCCGAGTTTATCTCAATCTTTTATTCCGTCTGGTTTTTAAAAACTTATTTACTTTACGCCTAACCAAAATATAAAGGCCTATTGGCAAATGACGAAATATTGAGAATGCGTAGAACAAGATGTTCAGAATTCTGAAATAATTTTAAATGGAATTGATGCCACAATGGTTTCAAAGGAATTACATTTATGGTACCTTGATGAAGCCTTGGTTCCACTTGTTTTTCTAGACCTAGATATTTCTGTTGTAAAGAGAGAAGATGTTACAAAAATGCTCTTCTCAAAACGAGTTCCTGAATTTTTTCGGCATTCCAAGAAACTAAATTTATTAAAAGCTCTTAACTTTAAGCTAGAAAAACCACCAAGTATTGCACAATTAGTGAGAGAAAGCTCTTGGTTCATATTTTGTTTGTTATACCTTACTAAACTGAATAATATACTTTGGTTTAACAGCCCGGCACCACTATGGGAGTATGTTGACCAGTTTAAGATTTTTTCCCAATTTCTCTCCAACCTTGCAGTGGTTAACGACGTTTCTGAAAGATCTATTAAAGCTGTACCAGACTTTGTAAACAATGTTCACAATGAAGACGATCGTCAGGAGTTAATACTTGCTGTTCACCAAAAAAGAGAAAACCTTCACGAGGTAAAGACTAAGGAAAATTTGTAATCAGCATATGAAGCAATTGCGAAATGAATAATCTAAATAATGACGTTTATTTAATGATGAAATATTGAATTGTAAATGTATATTTTTCATTTAACAATATTCAAACATTCTTTTTTTTGCTTTTTTACAAAAATGTCTATGCAACAATAACACGAGAATCATTTAAAGAGCTACCTAGCTAATCTTGAGGCAACAAAACTATTAACAACAATACCACTTTTATTCATGTTGCAGTAAGTTCATTAAGTCCTTTTATCTTAAAAATAAATAAAATAAATTTTTATTATTAGGCTATTAAGGTTAGCGTTAGGGTCAGGTTATCTCCAAGGATAAAGGAAAAATTTTTTAAGACATATAAACCTCATTTGACACTATTTTAAAAACTATACAGGTTTTTTCCGCGTCTGAAAATAGTTTATAAGGAAATCAAAAACATTTTTTATACGCCACCAAGGGTTTTTGTGAAGGAAAACTTGGATTTTTCACCAATTTCAGAAGATTCTGTATAGAGTAATTTCTTAATCTTTTTAATATGCTCCTTTTATGTGAATAATATTCAATCGAACATGAAATATTTAAGAGAATAAAACATTTTATAGGATAAATTTTAAGGTCCCCACTAGGCGTTTAAAACACCTAACATTGGCCTAAAATTGAACTGACCTTAAAAATTATAATTTTTTTTTTTTTGCTTAAACTTATTTTCATATAAATGGTTAGTTTATAAATTAATTTGCAAGTTCAATTTCAAAAATTGATTAAATATGAAACACTATAATGTTATTAACACCAATAATGTTATTAGCACCAATAATGTAGCTCCTGTTATGTTTTAACTTTTTAAAAAGTGAAAAAACTGAAACAAAGATAACTAATAATGTGTTTATTTTGTTAACGCACTAATTATGTTGTATTGTTGTATTTATATTATGTTTTTTGTTTAGTTATGAGAAAAAGAAATGTAGTGACCGAAATCCGGATCTTAGGAATCTGCTCTGAAAAATCTGCACATATATCTTGTTAATTGTGATTATGAAAATGATATTTGGAGCAGGAAGATGTTGATAAAACGCGCCTGCAGAAGCACTTAATAGAGCAGTATTACTAAACTGTCACTTAACAGTCATACTTAACTGAATACTATCACAAGCAATAGAGACATATTGACTGTAAAGTATACAAACTGAGATTTAAAAAAGTCAGCCAATGAATATGACTTTTCATGTACAAAGCTGACATTTATCCAATTTTACGCAAAAAAACAAGTGTTATCTTCGACATTAGTACTCAAAGCACAAGTTATTTGTACTCCTACAAAATACAAAGTACAAGCTGTTCTCCTTCAAAATACGCTAGATCACACTATTATTCGAACTTTAGTATTAACATGGTATCAATAAATAGTATTGGTGAAATAAAGACCTACCCATTTCTTCTGGATTGGGAAACAGAAACAATGGAAATACTGTTAGAATGGGCTTTCAAAGATGTTTTCTATTATATTGTTGATGACGTTATATTAGACTCAGTTTTTACGGGTTTTCAACTAGACAGTATGAAATTCAAAATGCTTTGGAAACTGCAAATTTAATACCACTATTTAATTTACATAAATAATCCTGGTATATAATACAAACTTCTGGTGGTTTAGTTTTAAATACATTAATAACAAAGTCGAAAAGGTGAAATAACTAATTATAAAAACAGATTCCTATTCGTTTTGCTGTTTTAGAAAAATACTTTAAAACACAGAGCTTTTCAGAAGTTGTTCCGGCTTCTTTTCTGACTGAAACTATCGTCTCTATCTCGGGTTAAGATTTTAAATTTATAAATACGAAAAATGAGATCGAAAAATCAAAACTAGTTAAAACAAAGTTCCTGTTTGATATCTTATACTAAACTTTGTTCGAAAAATGTGTTTTATTTCAAAAATTATCATTTTGCAAATTTATTCATTGACTTTAGGTAAAGAGTTCTTTTAGAAAAAAAAAATGATTAGCCATTTTGATTCACTTCATAATACTGATCAACTAGCCAAAAACCTGGAGTTTCAAGGTTAAAACAAAACTAAAGTTTTAAGCACTAGAGTCTTACTCGTATATTTTTAATTAATTTAAATACCATTTGTAAAAATTTTATTTTGTTAATATAAATTAGTTTATAAACTTATAGTAAAAAATTTTATTATTCATATATTTTTAATTAATTTATATACTAATTGTAAAAATTTTATCTTGTTAATATAAATTAGTTAATAAACTTAAAGTAAAAGATTTTATTGTAATAAAAATGTGTAAATTTTATGTAAAAGTATTTTGAATAAATTAACTAGCTCAATAATTCTAAATATTGTTTTAGAGCGTATATACGCTTTAAAATAAAATGTTTAGAATTTAAAAATATATAAACTCTATATATTTTTTTAAAATAAAATATATAGAATTTATAGGTCATACGCGTATGACCTATAAATTCTATATCAAAAGAAATTTTTTTTTTAATAAAATGATATTTTATTTTCTCGTCTTTAGCGAGCTATTTCTCCGTTAAAACTAGCACTTGATTTAAAAAAATAATCACGAAATATTTTATTTTAAACAAGATTTTTAGAACAAAAATATGTTAAAAAATATTTTTTTTCATTAGTTTCCTAGTTTTACAATCTTCAAAAAACAAACAGATTCTTTTGTAAATATCCATTCCGACAAAACGAAAACGTTTTTTAAAATTGATCTCGACAAAGTGGACAAGTGGATTTACCGCTGGTTCCGAACCATTTGTACTAAAAATATATAATAATAGAATATTATGCAAAACTATTAAATTTAAAAACGGAAAAAAAAAATTTAAATAGTAAAAACTAATTTATTTTTTTATTACGAACCAAGCAAACTGGATGGAATTTCTTTTTACAAGTTTTACATGCTATTGTTGGCAGAGAATAATTTGAAGGATGAATAATCGAGAAACAAACCATACACTCTTCAACACCTTCAAACCTTTTGTTAACATTATTTTTCCACATTTGTAGACCATCGGATACTGCACCATTCTATATTATGTTAAATAATTTTGAATTTATTTACTTATTTACCAAGACTATAGATATAAAACGTTATAAAATATTTAAGAATATAACACTTTATAAAAAATTTAGGTATATAATATGATTATGTATATAATGAGTAAACAACAATAATAATAATTTACTCTGACCTAAATTATTATGAGAAACATTTTTGCAAACAATATATTGAAAATTTGTATTTCGGAGAACCAAATATTCAGATGTGTGTGTGTGTTTGTGCTGGTAGTAGTAGCATGAATGAATGAGAGTTTTAAAATTTTTTTAAAAATAATAAAATTGGAGTGGTGGGTTTGTGTTGTTAGAAAGGGTTTTTGTTGGTAGAAAAGTTAGGTTTTATATGTCTTTCTATCAGTGTTATTCATATTTATATTTCTTTCTATCAGTGTTATTCATTTTTATATTTCTATCTGTGTTATTCATTTTTATAAAAATTATTTTATACCGTAAAACCGCCTAAGTTCGGTCACCATGTAACTTCGGTCATTTAAGAAAAAATATAAAAAAAGCATGCAAAACTCAAATTTTAAAAAATTTTTTTTTCTCAAATAATATTTGTAATTAGTTCGTAAATATGAATCTATAAAAAATTAATAATATTTATATGTAACCTGCTGAAATAATTCTTTAGAAAAACAACAATTTGAAAAAATGCATACTGTTAAAATCTAAAATAAGCAAACTATTAAAATAAATGATCATATTTAATCTTAGCTTTATTAAAAATCACCAAATTAATTATATTTACAAAAAAATATTATTAATTTTTAAAAATTAACAACTTTTTTTAATAAAATTAGTGAAAATTTTTAAATCCGCTAATTTCGGTCATTCATGAAGGAGATTATAACCTCCCCAGTAATATTGTGAAATATTGATAAGTGTTTCGAATGTAAAGTTTACCGGTGTTTTTACCTGTAAATTTACCACTAAATTTTAACATTTTTATAAAATTTCGACGGTTCTTTGAGTTCTAAAAAATATCAAGCTTGTGACATTTTTTTTGGAGATAAAATTAATGCTCAACGTGGCAATTGTTTATGAGGATCTTGCTGTTCTGCTATGGTCAACGATACGTCCAAGAATTGCCAGTAAATATGCAAAACTCATTTAAAGCAAAGTAGTGTTTTTTTGTTAATTGAAAAAAATCTTTTTAAAGTAACTGAAAAATATATTTTTAATTGTATTAACCGATGGCGTAGCAAATGCGATTATGCCTAAAGTAATAAAATAGTTGACTAAATACAATAAAAATTTAAAATACTACTACTTATATTTAGAAAGGCCTTTTTTAATGTGCTACTTCTTGTTATATTTGGAGCCCCAAAAGACTTATTTTGAGCCCGGGCCGACGCCCTCCTTAATTACTGGTATTACCTGAATTTATATCGTAATTTTACAATAAAAAAACATTTAAAAAATAGTTTTCATTATTTGTGACGTTAAGTTTGTGATACGTTATTAAGGTGAGTTTCCACGCATCCGTTTTTTCACGGGAATAAAAATAATCACGTAGACTTGCGTATTATAAGTTTTAATTTGTCCGAAGTAAAACTACGCATCCTCACGTGATTATTATTTCCTTTCCTATCCCGTTCCCATAGAAAAACGAATGAGTATAAACTCACCTTTAGTATTTATATAGTGGCCGAACTTATGAGATGGTATTGAAAGTTCGGTCAAAGTAGATGTTTTCATTTATGAGATGGTATGAAACATTCAGTCAAAGTAGATGTTTTCATTTTAAATTAAATATTGAGTACTAGTTTTTATTTTTACCATATCAATTATCAATAAACTTTTCTGTATGTTTCAGGAAAAAAAATTAAAAAATTTTATATTTATGCATGATAAATAAATGTTCCAAGCTTAAGTGACCGAACTTAGGCGATTTTACGTTAAATGATTCTCTGTTTTATGTATTTTTTAAATTAGTAAAAGAAATGCTTTCAGAAAAAATGTTTATTTCAGAAAAAATGTTTATTTTTTTCTGAAATAAAAAGTTCGATTATTCAATAAAACTTAAGCAATAAATAAAAATAAAATATACTTGAAATGATAAAAATGTGGTAAGTTGCAACATCCATTGCCTCCACTCGGCTGTAGATACTCCAAACCTTTTACCACATTCAACATTAACTGGACTTAGAGGGTAATTTGTAGGAAGAGTTAACACTAATTCCATCGTCATCTCCTCAATTGAGTATTTTGCAATTATTTCACGAGCTACAGGTAACGCTTTAACACTCATATTATTTGAAAGGTCTTGCTTATAGTTTGTAACTTTGTTAAACTCTTTTTTTAACAAATTGGGAGTTATATATGAAGATGTAAACCTGAATATAAAAAAAGGTTATCATTGTAACATTAATTTTGATGAATTAGTATAAAGTATTTTTATGTTGGGAAACTTACTTTTCAACGTATGCTGCATCTTTTCGATCAAGCTTGCTAAACCAACTTCTAATAAGTGCTGGCATGCAATTCATAGCACTGTCAAACAAGTGAAAAGAAACTGTCTGCAAATCCTCAAATGCCAAGGTAGTCACTAAAGTAAATGAAGGTAGTCACTCAAAGTAGTCACTAAAGTAAATGAAGGTAGTCACTTAAGGTAGTCACTAAGTCAATGAAGGTAGTCACTTTAGGTAGTCACTAAAGTCAATGAAGGAAGTTATTAAAGTAAGAAGGAAGTTATTAAAGTCACTTATAGTAGGTCACTAAAGTAAATGAAAGTAGTCACTCAAAGTAGTCACTAAAGTAAATGAAGGTAGTCACTTAAGGTAGTCACTAAGTCAATGAAGGTAGTCACTTTAGGTAGTCACTAAAGTCAATGAAGGAAGTTATTAAAGTAAATGAAGGTAGTCACTCAAGGTAGTCGCTAAAGTAAATGAAGGAAAATACTTAATTAACAATAAATATCATATTTAATGATGACAAAGTAAAAAAAAAATTATCTACCTTTAAACTCTTCTATTTTTTCAATGATATAACTCTGTTTCATAATGCAACATAAAAAAGTTATTAATTCATTAAGTGTCCCAAATTTGTGAAAAAAATTAGCAAACAAAGATCGATTGCTGGGAGAAGCCATTTTGAATACTTGTATAACAAGTTGCCATGATAACAAATATGTTAACAAACTAGATTGATGATCTTTATCTGTAATGCCTCGCAGAGGATTAGTAATGGAAACTTCAGTTTTACTTAAAATAAGTAAAACAACATCGTGACTTTTTGTAATATTTTCAAGAAGCTCGTCAGGAAACAATCTGTGTTGAAAAAAAAAGTTTGTTGAAGATTACTTTTTTTTTTCAAGCATAAAAGTTCCATCTTTTAAATGCACATGAAATTTCAGGATTGCAAAGTATTGATAAATGCTTAAAATTACACTTATTTATTTCGAAAAAGTTGTGAGATCTATTGATAAGTTGCCCCTTAGTGTATTTTTAGGTGAGACAAAACACACCTTGTTCTCCTAACTTCGGCTCACAAAAAAAACTTATTTCCTCCCAACAAGAAAGCAACATGTAAATGTATTTTCTGTAAAAATATTTTGCTCTTTAAATGTAACATATTTTTGTAAAAATATTTTCCTTTGAAAATTTAACATTTTCTGTAAAAATATTTTCCTCTGTAAATTTAAGGAAAAAACACAACTACTTCCTTTTATTTTGTTATATAGGTACCTGCAAATTTTTAGAACAAAATATTTTATTCTAAAAATTGTTATAGGAATATACACATTGTACATAAATGTAAATATATAAGTATAAAAATTCAAATAAGGATCTATAAGTTGCTATTGGTAACATGTAATCCATTACAACCTGTGCCTTGTAGGACTAGCATTTTAATTTCTTTACAAATATTTGTTTCAAAGGTTTATACCCTTCAACATGTGCTTTTATTTAGCACTTCACAAATCTTCTTTTTATGTTCTTAATCGCACAGCTTACTTCCATGATTGTACTTTTTTGATGTTATTTCTGATCAAATTTAACAAGCATTTTTTCATTATCAATTATCTTATAACCTCCCCTTGTAATTTGTAGTTTATCTCTTGAAAAATTGATACATTTTTTCCTGACATCATATAGAAACAGTGATAATTGATTTTTAGACTAACCACTTTGCTTCCATTGCTAAAGTTCTCACTTAAAATCTTCTACAGAATTTTCTAATTGCAAAAAAACAAATCACTATATATATATATATATATATATATATATATATATATATATATATATATATATATATATATATATATATATATATATATATATATATATATATACATATATATATATACATATATATATATATATATATATATATATATATACATATATATATATATATATATATATATATATACATTTATATATATATATATATATATATATATATATATATATATATATATATATATATATATATATATATATATATATACATTTTTATATATATATATATATATATATATATATATATATATATATATATACATTTATATATATATATATATATATATATATATATATATATATATATATATATATATATATATATATATATATATATATATATATATATATATATATATATATATATATATATATATATATATATATAGTGATAGGCTTTTATATGTCCAAAAAAAATGACAGCATTTTTAAGGTGCATCCATTTAAAAAAAATTCATGCACCAAATGAATTATAGTTCATAAAGGTTCTTAAAATATGCACTAAATTTATTTTAAAAACAGAAGTAGGATATCTTAAGCTCTTTTATAAACAGAAGTATGATATCTTAAGCTCTTTTACACGGCGATTTTCATTAAACTTTAATGCTTTTTTTTTAATTTTTTATTCAACTCTACGAGGGAAAACTTTTGATTTGTTTTTGTTTTGTTTATTAGTGAAATTTAGTGTTGCATAATTTATGGATAATCTCTAAGATTGCAAAATAAAAGTGAACTCAGTGACATTCGGTTTGTTAAGCATTTGTTCTACTGAGTATCAGTTAAACTTATAATTATGTAAATTTATGTGTCTGTTATGACTTTGACAGTAAATGTTTTCAAAAAACGAAAGTAGTCGTAAATGAGTCAGTAAGCAACAGTGACAGTGATTATAAAACTTTCAATAAATATTAATATACAAAAAAATTAAATAGAAGACAGTTGAGGCTGTTAAATTGGTTAAGCAAAGCTGAGAACACGAAAAGCTGCAGTGTGTCAACAACTTAAGAAGGCTGTTGTTGATCTGCCTGCACCAACTCAACCAACAATCCAAATCAGAAGCTAAAAAGTTATGGTATAAATTGAGAAAAAAAACTGAAGGCAAAGAACTGGTGTTTGCATTTTGATGGAAATAAATAGCAGGGATGGAGCATCAAGTAGTTGTGATAAAAGAATAATAAAAAAGAGGCTAGGCTAAAGCCAATGGTATTAAAGAATGGAGAGTCATTGACAATTTTTGAAGAACTTCAAGAACTTTTAAATGAACATGATTTATGGGGATCTATAAAAATGATTGTGACAAACATTACAAATGTTAACACTAGAAAAACAAGTGGTGGAGATAATAACAATTCACCTGAACTGTCATACTATTTTGTTGAAGTAATATGTAAATATGACTAATTAACATCAAACTTTTGACGACCACAAGACATAAATGGTTGGTTATTGTAGCATACATTTTGTATTGTAGCATTACATTTTTTACATGGGTGCCTTGAGACCATAAACCATGGTGGATCAAAATATTTTTTTGCTGGAAATTTTTCCCCATATAGTTGGAGGTGCCTTAGTTACTGTATTAGCTCACCTGCAATCTACGTTATATGTATGTTTGTGTTCTGTCTGAACCTCTGGCGCGGTGTTCGCTCACCCGTAAGTTACTTTATGTTCTTTATGTATGTCTGTGTTCTGTCTGAACCTCTGGCGCGGTGTTCGCTCACCCGTAAGTTACTTTATGTTTTTTATGTATGTTTGTGTTCTGTCTGAACCTCTGGCGTGGTGTTGACTCACCCGTAAGTTGATTTATGTTTGTTTGTGTTCTGTTTATACTCTAATGCAGCGTGAGCTCAGTAACTAACTACTTACTCCAACTACAAAACGTACACTCACCTTAGACTCCTGTATTTTGTTAGATGCAGTGTTTTTCCTAATGCACTTCCAAAATGTCATGCCTGGTTTTCTCAAAGTACTGTTGCGGGAAGTAACTCCTTTTAACTACTCCAGGTCAGGTCAGGATAATCGAGATCAATCTTGCTACTGGTATCATGTAACCCAGTACCACCTGCCACAAGCCCTGCTGCCTTGCAGAGTGTGCTCTTCTTATGCAAAGGCTAGGAGAAATAAACTCCGACTAAAAATTCCTTTGCCTTGGGGCTCTTGGTTGTGTAAAGGCTAGAGATGGTGTCTCGATAAAAACACTCATCTTGGGCAGATGTTAACTGCATCCAGCTAATGTCTTGTAGAAGGCCTCCTAGGCAAAGACTTTAGGGGTAAGTAGAAAAATTCTGCTAATCAGCCTCGAACCCCTTCTTCATCTATTAGGCTGGCGTAGATGTAACCTGTGTTACATTGTTTCCTGCCTAGGATGATCAATGCTGGATCTCCTTGACTCTACTCATAGAATTTTGCTTATGCCTCCTTGATAATGGCTATGCAACTCTTCCTGTTATCTCCATATGAGGGTACAGCTCTAAAACTCAGTTTAATGGTTCTGAGGCCGGCTGGTAGTAAGGTTTCCCGAACTCTGTGGTAGCTCTCAGAGAGGCTGATTCCATCAACAGCTGCAAAATATCAGAGTATTAACAGTGCCATGTTGCGCATGGATGGTGTCCCTGTTAATGCTTTTGGTGTGCATTGTCAAGGCCACATTAGGAGCCCTATGTCACGGCTTAGGGTTAATTAACAGGACTGAGACAACTGCATAGCTCATTGATTAGGAGGCTGTGCTCTATCTATGAATGAGTCAAGTTCTCATTAAACCCAAATCATGACCAAAGTAACCAAAAATTTAAAACCTAAAAAACCATCCCCACCACCTAAATATTTTAATATATCTTTTACAAATATTCGCGGTCTACAAAGCAACTTTCCATCAGTTGAGTCTTACCTCCTGCAAAATTCACCAGACTTGCTTGCACTCTGTGAAACAAATTTAAATTCTGCAATTCCTTCTTCAGATGTCAGTGTTGATGGGTACTATCCTTTGACTCATAAAGACTCCAATAGTCACAAGCTAGGTTTAGGGGTATACATACGCATTAATTCCCCTATTTGTCGTGAAATCAGGTTCGAATCCTTTGACCATTCTTTTATGTGCTTTCGCCTAGCACCTCTTCATTCTATCACCTTTCTCTTTGTTCTTTATCGTTCTCCTTCTTCCCATGATTGCACTCTTTTAGATGTTATCTCTGATCAAATTGGCCATGCCCTCTCTCTTTACCCCTCTGCCAATATTGTTGTTGTTGGTGATTTTCATGCCCATCACACTGAATGGCTTGGCTCTAACACCACTGATCCTGCTGGCACTAAAGCCTTTAACTTCTGCGTTTCTCAATCTCTTACTCAGATAGTTAACTTTGTGACTCGTTTTCCTGACAACCCTAATCATTTACCTTCACTCCTTGACTTATGTCTTGTCTCTGACCCTAGCTTATGTTCAGTTTCTCCCTATTCTCCCTTAGGTGGTTCTGACCATGCAATGATCTCTATAAATCTTTCTTCTCGTACTTCTTTTTTGGGCTCACCTTATCATCGCACCACCTACTACTACCCTAAAGCTGACTGGGATTCCTTTCGTGATTTTCTTCGTGATGGCCCTTGGGCTGATATTTTTTCTCTCTCAGCTGACAAATGCGCCTCCTACGCAACCTCCTGGATTCAGGCTGGAATGGAAGCTTTTATTCCTTCTCATCGGTTTCAAGTCAAGCCTCATTCTACTCCATGGTTTTCTCCTTCTTGTGCTGCTGCTATATCTAATTGTAATCATTTTTTTCATCTTTTTCAAAAGAACAACTCTCTTGAGAACAAACGGCTATTTATTATTGCAAGAAATCGATGTAAAAAGGTGCTTTCTGATGCTAAACTCCATTATTCTCAGTTCACTAAATCTCGCATCTTATCGCAGAAGTTAGGCTCTAAAGACTTTTGGAAAATCTTCAACAGCATTGTTAACAAGGGTAGATCTAACATTCCATCTCTCATTCATGGGACTGATCTTGTTACCTCTGCCAGGGATAAGGCAGAAC